TTCAGGTCAGTTCATCTCTGGAGTACCTCAGGCTGCGGACGCAGGGTGAGCTATTGGGCCATCGTCGTGCCTGTCCAGAGCACACCTGGCCACCGAAATCAATAGGTGATGTATCCTCCCTCCAACGGTAACATGGAAGTGGGTTTTCTACAGGTGTTGGTGAAAAAAAGCATGACAGAACCTTCCAGAAGACCATGCCATGACGGAGTTCGACCTAGCCTAGCTAGGCCGCAAGGATCGGAGAACGGGCGCCGCTCCGCTCCGACAGCATCTCCGAGAGTGTCCGCGCGAGCGAGGCGCCGAGCTACCGGCCTAGCTCCCCACTACCGAGCTACGTTCAAGAGGTGACCATGTGATGGGGGTGCGCAGGAGCCGTTCCACGCGGACGTCCGCGTTGGGTTGAAACAGTTGGGGCTCTGAATGTGAAGGATTTGGTATATTCGACAGCGCCTGGTGGCAGGGTGTTTGGGCATTTTGGGTATTTACCCATTTGTCGTTCCATCATGGTGCAAAGAACGAGAGTTTTTCACCTGGAGGACCAGACCCTTTGAGACAAAAACCAGCAGTCCAGTGTCTCACTGCGCCTGGTTATATACCATTATCATACCCTGCACTGTGATCCCCCCAGTGGGATTGAACGACCTGACTCAGACTAATTGCAGGGTATGAACAAGTACTCTTGAATAGTCTTGTTTGATGTGCAAGGATCGTGCATGTATATAGAGGTTCTGAAAGCATTGAGGGGTGAACTACAAGACGCGCGGAAGACGTGCGCAAGGAAACCGGAAGTGCTGGAGTGAGCAAAGGATTGAACTGTTGTCTCTTTGTGCAACTGCCACTGCAAACCAGGCTTTTGGTCAATCGGAAAAGGATGCAAGATTCTGCCTTTTTGGACGAAATGGAGATCGATGAATCAACCAACCCCCCAAACACTAACCACATCCAACCACACCAGCACCGGTCACCAGCAGCCTCGTCCTCGTGTGCAGGATTCAGTTCATGCAGCCTGGACTCCCCTCGCTCGGCCGGGGGTGGAGACTGCCAAGGGGGTCGACACCAGACAGACAATTGATTGGGTCACAGTCCAGCCCTGCTTTGTCTATTTTCTGAAGACTGAGGGGGACAATGCCAATGTACCCGGGTTACATTGTAATTGTCCGTTCCGGGTCTTCGTTCCTTTTCTTCGTCTTCTTCGTGTGTCTTTTTGTCGTTACTTGTATCATGTCATTTGTTGCTGGCTGGCTTGCTTGCCTTCTTGCCTGCTTGAATTGCCTTGCTTTGCTTTGCCTTGCTTTGCTTTGCCTTGCTTTGCTTGCTTGCTTTCCTTCTCGCTTTGTTGGTTCGGCTGGTTTGTTTGTTTGATTGGAGTTCTTCTTCTTTCTTTTTTGAATGAGCTATCATGGAACAGTCTCCAAATGACTAGCCACAAGGATACGTGCCATTTGTGTTGTGGAGCAGTCCTGCTTTTTGGACACCCACCTGGCATACCCGGCAGGGACCACAAAGCTAAAGCTCTAAACACACCAGGTATTGAGATTAAAACCAGTGTGGTGAGTGCAGGAGCTTGTTCTGTGATGGGGCATGATGGGCCATGGCCCTTGAAAGAGTGCTCCTACACCTTGCTCAGCCAAGGCCAGACGGCTTCCTACCCACGTTGGGCAGCGAATGGGCGTTGTTTCATGACAGGAGAGTAAGACTCTCCCGGTCTGCGTAGAGAGCGATGAAAGGTCGAAATGCCTTTCAGCTAACCAGCACATTCTCTTTTTTAAACATTCAGGACAGGTCACCATGCCATGAAGTTTCAGCTCCCAGTGTCACACAGTGCATCACTTTGTAGCAGTGTAGCATTTTCCAGCCATTCTGTTCAGATGGTTGACTTGGAAACAGTTCGTCGCACCCTGACCGCTGCTGGACGGCGGCCTGGGTGTTGGATGGAGCATTTGTAGACCTGGACTTGAAGACCACTGCTCAAAGAGGGTGGTGCCATCGCGTGGCGCCTAGCGATGTGTCGCGCAGTATGGCAGGTCGAGTTCCATTTGGCATGGCTCATGTAGATGAGAGGCCTGAGGTTGGGAGCATGACTTTCTATGGACCTGAGAGTTTCAGAGAGGCGGCATCGCAGGCCGCGTAGTTTGGACATGTTGAGCCGTTGACCGTTCTCTAAGTCGAGAGAGAGATAGAGGGTGGCCAGGTCGCCTGCGAGGTATGAAGATCTCGGGCATAAGTCGGCATGAGCAAGAAAGCACACGCATCGCAGGTAAGGTGTCATGAGACTATGCTAGATTGACCTAGACTGTTTCTAGAAAGTGCTGCTGTACATGCGTAGTTTGACATCAGATCAAGGTGCGCCGCTATTCAAATCGGCACTGTATGGCACTGTAGCGATGGGCCGTCTGTCACGTGAGCCACAAAACACCGCAGAAATTCGCTTCCCGGTCACGGGAATGGTGTCCTGGTGGGACGGGGGGGGATTCTGGAGAATATGAATCGACTGATTCGCCCATGCTTGGTCTAAGACTGTTCTCATTCCAACTTGGATCTGGGATCATCGTGGCTGTTGATCAAGCCGGTTCTTTTGGCTCATCCATGTAATTACTACCAGGAATCCCACATCAAAGCAGCATGCGAAGCGTGCGATAGAGAAAAGCTGGCATTTGCAGCTGGACGCTGTGTCGAGCACCTACGCCAAGGTAAATCAGGTCCTATCAGAATACAGGACTGATCCACTTAGCGTATGTATGACCATATGGGCACCAGGAGGCAGTAGCAGATGACTTTAGCTGCCTTGTTTGTGTCCTCCATAGCAGGCTGCAGCATGGCTGCAAGCTACACAGTTTGGAGGCCATCGTTTCTAGGTTGGAGGCCATCGCTTCTAGGCTGGAGGCCATCGCAACTAGGTTGGAGGCCATTGCTATTAGTTTGAAACAGTCTCAGGACGTTTTTGTTGGGCTGGTGTTTCGAGCTTGAACTTCTTCGGAAGACGAGCAAGCTGTCTGACGGCTGCAGACGCTGATCACAGCCACGGTGCTTTTCGTAAGCCACCGTCCACTGGCAGATGGACCAAGCAGTGTCACCCCGGCCACTGCGCCGAAATTGCAAATTGTTGAATCTGCACCGTGCCGAAGGCTGCTGAACCACTGACTGGGTGGGAAGTGTGGAGGTGGACTTCTTGGAATGATCAGTCGGTCATTGCCCAAGTTCACAGGTCCCACCTACTTACGCGCTCCTCACCCAGTCCCCTGCTTTGTTGCCCTCATTGCTTCTATTCTATGCTTTTTGGAGCATAGACTCGAGTGCAGCTAGCCTGGCTGTTGTTGTTTGTGCTAGTTGCCATTGTGGGTGCCCAAACGAACCGAGGATAACCCAATTGTGTTGACCTTTTGGAAAGATCCACGCATGTGGGTGTTAAATGCTGCAAGTGCCATGCACAAATGACATGCTGTTAAGACACCACACACTGAGCGGTATTTGGATCAATCGTGACAGGAAGGAGCACTAAAGCTCGGTTGAACCTCGAGATGTCTTGCGTTGGCTTGCGGCCTTCGGCGGTGCTATTTTTCCCCTATAGCTATGGACTTTGGAAGGCTCCCAACCCTGTCAGGATCGTGCTATCATCCCTCATTCTGCTCTTGAACATGATGCAATATGATACAGTATGCGTGTTGGCTGGAAAGTGGAATTCAAGCGCTGTTTGCAATCTGGGTATCCTCCAGCCGGTGCAAGTTGTGGGGAATGGAAGCACCCTTTTCAGTTGTTCTTCAAGGTGTTGAGACTCTTTAGATTGCACATTTTGGGATGGCAATGCGCAGGAAACATGGCGTTCACGCGTCGAATTTCCCTTGCCTTGCATGCGTTCCGCTCACAGGGCTAGGATGCCAAGTCTGGCGTGAGCAGAGGGCCCAGAACGACAACCCGGATCTCTCGCCGGTAAAAGCTTCTTGCGCGAGATCATGTGGTCGGGAAACGGTGGGGCATGGGGCCATTTGAAGGTGCGAGCTCAGAAGGGTAGCCCGCAGCATTGGCAGGAAGATTGATTATAGTATTATAGTTAATTATATAACTAGACCATCTTGTTAGTGATTGATTGTTCACCTTATTCCAGCAGCGCTTTGCCTTCTGCAAACCTGCAAACGATCAAACACAAGAAGATGAGCAGCCCCACTCCCAGTTCCATCAATGATCCTTGTTGGTGTGAAGATGTGTGAAGTGCAAAGCAGGCCCGAACTGAGGACCTACCAGGCTTCTCTCAGTCAGACTCTTGACACACCTGCTTTTACTGGATGGCTTCCCCGACATCAGCTGAGCTTCAGATTGTGAAGTTTGAAGAAGCCTTCTACAGCGGCAGGGCAGGTGGAGAGCTAGGAGGGAAAAGCATTAAATTAGTAATCTCTCAGACCATCAGCAACATGCAGAGCTTTCAGCATATGCGCATCGCACGAGAGCATGAACTAACGAGGGATATGCTGTGATCCCTCATGCGCTGACAGGCCAGGTGGGCCGGTCTTTCCCTTTTGTTTGCTAGGGCCATGGCTGAGAAAGAAACTCTGAAGTCAGCCGCTTCTGTTCAGATGCTGCCGCTGTGGTTTACAAGAAAGATCAAGAAAGCCTTCTTTCGAGTGCACGCGGCAAGCCTGTTGTTAGGAGAAGTCAGGTGGGGGGAACTCTTTGGCCACACCATGCCTTTTTAAGATTGATCCTCAACATTCATGGACGTTCGAACAATCAGATGACTTTTTGTTTACCAGTGGGCCAGCTGGCCCATTTGTTGTGACATACGCTAGCTCACTAGCAATTACTGCAGTTTTAGCATGTCCCCGCCACCTGGACCTGGGGCCGAAAGGGCTTGCCAAATCCTCGGCGCAACATATATTACAGTATACTCGCAATGTGTAATGTTTCTGATTATATACAATGATGATGGTGCATAAACCATGTTCCAATGTTTGAGTTTCCGTGTCGGTCCTTGACTTCTCACCCTCATCTCCATGGCCAGGCCGCTTATGGAGGCCAGACATTCCTACTTGGAAGCTTGGCAGCATACGCCTGGTTGGATAGATAGAGGTCCCCAGGTGGTTGAAGGGGCTCGCCTGGAGCACATCCGTGGAAATATCGCATGAAGAACCCAAGGCACCACTCTACCGTTGTTAGCATGACAGCGCAATAGGAGCTATAGATTATTGTGTTACCAATTGTTGCTTGTTACCATATGTTAGCATTTAGTGATCCACCAGCGGTTCAACTCCACTCATTCAATATTGGAGCCTTTGCAGCAAAGGCCTGCAGTGATTCTTATGAACCCAAATGAATCCAATATGTTTTTTCTTAATGATTGATGTTGATACCTCCCAATTTGTCCATACACATGAGTACCCCGCTAGGGGTACATAGGTTCACCATCGCCGGCTTCGAGGATTTAGAGCCGGATATCGAGCGCCCCAAGCTGAGCGCGCAGAGCGTGCATCATGCGCCACACTTCTCGGCGACGCGTCAGCCATGGAGACTCGGCAGAGAGAGAGAGAGAGGAAGAGAGAGGGTGATTCCCAGCAAAAAAATGCAGAGGCTCAAAACAATCTGTGATATGACGTGGTGCTTATCTCTATGCGAACCTGCGTGTAGGGGTCACCATACGACATCTCTCTTTTTCCCTGAGCCATTTAGTCTTGGTTCTGGCTGTCTTTAAAGTGACATCCTGAAAGGAGGCTGTCAAAGGCTTCGAACATCGAAGACCATATGGGAGCCGATCGTAAATGCAAATCTAAGAATTATGAAAGGGCATGTGTATCTCAGCATCTGCGATTGTAAAACCCTGCATCGCGGTTGATCGGCGATTGGTTCGCGAGTGAGACAAACATTTGTTGTATCAGAATCGACCACTGTAAGAGGAGAAATCAATATTTGATGGCATGATAATCATGTTACAGTTCAGCCTTACACTGTATTCGGGTCTGCCTAGACACTGTGTTCAATAGTGATAGCCAATAGCAAAGAAGAATCAGAACAACAAAGTTTAAAGTCTACCAACCCAGATCAATTCAATTCTCAAAAAAATGTCGACGAAATCCGCGATTGTTAAACCCGCCTGAGTAGGCCCTGGCTCACGCCATGTCCCTAAATACTGTGATATGTAGCAATGTTTCGACGATTCTCTGCGCAAAATAGTGTTGCATACGAGAGCACTCTCCCGCGATTGACACCGTTGGGATCGCGATTGATTCGCGGTTGATCGGTGATTGTAGCTGCCTCAGATACCTTTATTTTGATCAACACCCATATGATATGTCGAGGAAGAGCTTCTTCAAGGCCCGGGTCCCTGAGAACGTGGAAGAGGCCACAAGCCGCCTCCGGAAGAACCTGCTCCACTTCCAGGTGAGGAGCTGCGAACTATCCGGGAGTTGAGATTTCGGGGGATGGGAGTTGGGATGTTGATGGTTGCGACAAACCTAGCCAACCAAAGCGCGCCTGCGAAGAGGATTGATGACAAAATTTGAGTTTCTGTGCTAATTAGGTGGTTGACATGTGAGTTTTGCAAACTCATATATGTTGTTCAGGCTGGTGAGTCAGGGCAAGACGTAGTATCTTGGACCGCTGTGGTTCAGCAGCCTTGAATCTGGACAAGGAGTGTTGAGTGAGAAAATTTGCATAGTAGCAAAATCAGCTTAGAAGCCTCATTCAACGTGCGTGCAGTGCAGCACCTTTCCAAGCTGAACCACAGAGATTTGACGGGTTTGCTATGGCCCAATTCTTCACTCTCCAGCAAACCCAGCGTAGGCCAACTATTTGGCTATGACAGCAGCTCTTTTGGCTGCTTTGCAACTTAACAACCCGCGTCTTGGTTCAGCAGAAGGATCCTCCAAATGCCGGCCTCAAGCATGCCCCATGTGAGTTCCCGAAATCCCTCAAACAACAGGAGCTCTTCAAGCATGAATGCCTGCAAGGCAAAGGTTGGACAATCCAAACCCTCGCTCCCAGCTTGGAACACGTAGATGAATCCCGAGCCGCAGTCCAACTTTCAAGTCGCAATTCGAGTAATTTCGAGTAGCCGCTCTTGATCGATGTTCCAGAAAGCTCTCATGACTTCATCAAGTCAACTGGACGCCCAGCTTCCCGTTCCGTCGCTCGAGCTCCACCGAGGCTGGGCCTCTGCGCCACACTGCTGGTCTCGGTGCTTTGGGCCTTGGCGCCACAGCTCACCTCCGAGGTGAAGCGACGTCGGATCGGAACGTGCCAGTGATAAAATGGAGCAATTAACATGCAGTGGGCTAGAATGGCTTAGAAATGCTTAGAATATCTTAGAATATGAACATTAGTTAGGGGGGTGTAGCATGCTGCAAGGTTTTTCATGGCAGCAGCAGCTGATCAAACAAACAGAGGAGCGAATTTCTCTCGCATCGTCTGACAGAGCAGCAGAGGCCTTATCGCCACAGAGACTAGCACTCCTCGCAGCACTCTCTCTTATGGCCCCTTGTCTGTATGTCTTGATGGCGACCACCCTGGAGGTTTGACCTGGGGTAGGGCAGTGATGATTGCAGGCAAGCAGTAGGCATATCCAAATTTGGTCACGACTTCGACTGGGACTGCACAGCCGAGGTCCTGTACTTGGCGGCTGGAACCATGCTGCTGGGCATGCGTTTTCGTGTGGCGCAGTGCGGCTTCGATGTCGAAACGCATGTCGTCGAACGAACACTTCTGGTGAGAACAACTCATGGGAACCCCGCGATGAGGCATACGCATGGGTAGACATTAATCACACATGAGAAGAATGCGAGGCAGTAAAGTAGATTAAGCTTCATTGAAAAAAGGGGGTGCCCTACTCATACCATCTCATACCTTGAGACAAACAACCCTCAATGAGGCTTCTGAACTTGGCCTTCATGAGCCTCCTCTTCAGCGGCCTGCATGCCGCCCTACACCCGGGCTCCGTCGAGGCCAACCACGTGTGCGGACATGGTCCATCGCTAGAGACGTCGGTCCGCCATGCAGAGTGAGTGCTGGGATGTCTGGAACATGCACCAGGCGTGTTCTCTTTCAGCTGTGGGGCGTAATGGGATATGTAACGAAAGGTAGCTTGAGCTACCTGAGTTCTCCTTGCTTTAGAAAAAATGTATTACAATCAGGAGTTGGGATTGTGCATGGAGTTTGGTTAGCGCATCACGCAGGGATACGTGAGGTATCAAAGGATTATGAGTTATGACGAAGCAATCTTTGAATCAGCGCGGGACGGACGTTTTTAGGCAATTCCAATTCCTCCTGAAGCTCGTGATGGTGATCCAGTTACTGTATCAATCAGTTACTTGTTACTTGTCCTTTGCGATCCCTTTCCTCCCCATTTGCACCTTATCAGATGGCACCCAGTTACAGGGCCACTCCAACCGAAAAACGGCCAGGCCAGGCCATGCCTTCGCTTTGCAACGAAGACAACAGAATTAGATGTAGCACAAACATGAAAATAAATAAGATACAATGGCACAAAGTTGGCACGTAGATGGACATGGAAAGTCAACATTTCAACATCCCATGGCGGATTCAAACATTTCTTCGATTGAATATGCCACTGTCTGAAGCGCAGCTCAGAAGTGCTTGCAGTTGGCGTCATTCTGAACCGTACAGGTCAAAACCTTTGAAACCCAAAACAGGTCATGACAAGCCAAAAGCAGCCTTTTCTCCATCAACGCCTGACACAAAGTTACAAAGGTGCAGGGACGGAGATCGGCTCGTAGGGCAATGCAAAGCCATGCCTTGCCCGACTGCTCCTGGCCAAGAGCCACCAGAAATCACCAGAACTGGATGCCACATGTTTAGCATCGTTTTGCTATGCAGCGCCTTGTGGATGGGTGACCTGGGCACCCGAGTTTCCGTCTCGGCCGGCGGATCGCAGGTTGGGAACTTCGATTTGATCGATGAGGTGCGAGCCAGTTCGTCCAGTTCGGGGGGGCTGCACAGCACAGAACAGCACCCAGGCGCAGGCGTCGGGTGGGACAGTGTCGGGGGTTGAACCTTCACATGCCACATCAAACTTGGCCCTTCACTGTGTCAGGATGAGCTCTGATTCACCCTGCTTCGTCACGTGAAGAGCAGCTGGAAAAAAGGAGGTCTTGGGTTTGGTACTGCTATGTAATTGCTGCTCCAGAGTGTTTCATTATCTAATTTTGTTGGACTTGCGGCGGAGAGAACACATTGCCAGCGGCAGGACGAGGTTGAATCGCCCATCGCAGCTATAGCCTCTAGGGTGTTGACCTGACGTCTTGTGAATCATGTGAATGGTGGAAAGCTCCGGAAGTCATCATGAGCAACCAGACCTGCCGCGCACGTGTTTTCTGTACCTCACATGAGCAACCGCACCTCCCCACACGAAACCTGGAGACCTCGGATGACCGATTTCGGCTCAAGGGGCTCCCGCCCCCCCCGCTCGTTTCGGCTGTCATGTGATCCCAAACGACCCGAGATGACGAATGCCCTTTGGCCAAACGACGGAGCCGTGCTGGAGAAATGCTCTTTTGGGTTCTGTGTGATGCGGCAGCACGATAAGCATCTCCTTTTGGGTTTGAAGTCCCTTTCTCCAAAGGTGATGCGAAAGGGTAACAGGCTGGAATTTACACCTTGCCGTCATGCAAACATGGGGACTTGGTATCATTGCAAAGGGCCGTGAGAGCAGGTCTGACCAGGAGAGATGCAGAAGGTCCTTTGTGGGATATTTCCCTCCTCCTGCCAAGACCGTGACAAACTCGTGGAAGAGATTTTGGAATCACTTCTATTCTACTGTGGGATTGATGGGTGAGGGACGAACGCCGTGGACAAGGGCGGTTTTTGAACACTCTTTCTCACGGCTTCGTTTTTGAACTTCCAACCTTTTTGAACATGTAATAGTTCATCATATTTTAAACATGTTAAAATCTCACTTTGTCCTCAAAAACATGGTAGTTGCAGTGGCCCTCCAACTTTGTGCGCGGGGCGGCAGAAAATAGGCCAGGGAGCCTTTTTTGAATTTCGGATCCCACATCGGAGAAAACCTGACCGTTGTCTGGCAAGGCCGCAAGCCTCAGCAGATGACGAGGCAGCAGAACATGCGAGCGTGGGAGGAACGCATTCTGTGAACCGTGCGTTCGTCCCAGAATGAGCGAAAAGCAACGTTACAATTGATTATTATTTCGTGAATATTGGTTGAAGATGTTTTTAAGCAAGGGAGGTTTTGCTCATTACAACTTGCATGGGTTTTAAAGCCAATGTAAGCGAAATTCCTCGCGGGTCCCCAAGGTTGGCTTAGGGACCGAGCAGCTCTATCGACGTCATTCTTCCACTCCCCTAATTACTCGAATTTGGGAGTTCTTAAGGGGTTTTGCCAGGGGCCTCGTTTCCATTGCAGGTACCATGAGATAGTTCCGCTCATCACGTTCGCACGACCTAAAAATCTGGCATGATGTTGTTTGCACGCCATCCCTGATGCCGCCCTTTGTTTTTGGCTCTATTTTCTCATGTCTGCCACTGAAGGTTGGCTCGCCAGAATCGGATTCCTTGCTGAAATATGTGTCCTGGCTCTCGTGGAATCCCAGCGGATCCCGTTTCAGAGCTTTATCCGAAACTCGATGCCATCACGTGGACCGTGCTTAAGCTGGGGGTAGCAGATGAGAAACTCCAACGTATGACACGCCGTGCTGCTTTCTTTGACGATTCTTTCTGCACTTGCGCTGAAAGAACAAGGCTGTGAGCTGTGGGATGCAGCGGGTGTTCTTTGTGGGTGTGGTTATACCATGTTGTACCATGTCTTACCAAGAGATAAAGGAAAAACCTGCAGGTGTGGGTCAGATTGCCCCCCTAAGGCTCAATGCCCTGGCACACCATGTGGGATGTCCCAGGCCCCTTCTGCGCGCCGCCCGCTGAGGTGCCCAACGCTGCGCCGGTGGGCACTGCTTGGCGACAGGTGCTTGGCGACAGGGGAAGTCTTGGAGTCCGTTGGATCAATTTGATTCAGCTTGTGAAAGATTTGGGATCAGATCAATTATCACAACTTCTCCATCATCATTGTGCCTGTCTTTTGTTGTTTGTTTCTTTTTCTGCGTGTGTGCTGTTTGACATGGGGCACCAGTCAGTCACTCTAGTCGTTGTGTCTTGTTACGGGCTGGTGGGTTCTTTGTAGGATATGAGCGGAAGGTGTATGCTGTCACGCAGGAATTTGGAATGCATATCGCCACATTCTCAAGTTGAATGGGAAGCGGATGGGAGCGGAGTGGCCGTGGGTTTATGACGTCGACGATGGTGGTGACCATTTGGTGGGTATATATATAGCCTTTGTTGCTGCTGTCAGGCCTCCTCATCCCGCCAGCTCAGTAAGGCCTGGTGTTCGGACCTGAAGAACTGGCTTGGAAACTGCAAGAGTGAGATAGAGAGGAACAAATATTTGCACGTCCTTCACCTTCAGAACTTTCTTACAGTTCCCCACATTTGTTTCGCCATTCCTTCTGCCTTTGCATGCCTTGGAAGGGCTCCTCCGTGGAAGAAGTTGCATTCCTGGAGGCGGTGCCGGCATTCAACTGCTTCAGCCCACATGCTGGAAGAAGATCGTGGCAAGACCTTTTTTCGAATGGGTTGCAGTTTTGTTTGTGTTGGTTAGTAGCCATTTTTTCATGATACTGTTTCGTCACTGGATCACGATCCTTCGGCCCGTCGGCATGGAAAGGCACCCTGCCTCAATGATGTGAACGCTAATGGACCTCCCAAAATAACCCTAAAGCCAGTCAAGGGATGTCAAGGGTGGGTTTGGACATATAGTTGGACAGTCCAGGAAATCAACCCAGAGCACGTGGAAGATGACGCTGTTCTCTCAGAGAAGTGGCCTGTCAGCAACACCTGGTCAGTGGATTGTTGGGACGTTGTTTCGCAACCGACCTTGGCCGATTGGCACCGGCTGGGCTTGCTAACTGTGAACGTTGAGGCTCCTCACTTCGAGAACGTGCAGGTATGTCGTTGGTTCTTCAGAGTGACCCTTTGAAGGCTTGAAGTCACTCAAGCCTGCAAAGGGTCACGAGTTCGGACGCTCGTCATTCGACATGAGCACTTTGAAGAAGCTGGTCTTCTTGATCTTTTTCCATGTCACTGATTCCCACAGCGACTGAGGACCAGCCCGAGCGGCCGAGCCGACGCCCGAGCCGAGCCGGAGATCCCGACGCAGGCGGCGTTCGGACGCTGGACGGCGTTCGAAGCATTCGCCAAAGCGGTGCCTTAGAGTCTCTCAGGCGGCCATGGATCTGGGTGAATTGAGCCAGCAAGGGGTCAAACCCTTACCACAATAGATCCACATAATTGGTCCAACCGATCATCCATGTGTGACCGCTCAACGGTTCCGGGCGGATCCGCGGAGATCGCTGCGCTGCAGGTTGGCTTCAGGCGACCTCGGGGTGGTGGTTCCGGGGACCCGGGCGGTGCCGGACGAGGGATCCGGACGGTGCCGATGGATTTGACAGGGGACGCCGCATGGCATGTGCCAGAAGAATCTGCTGTGCCTGGCTGTGTGCGAATACATTCTGGGAACATGGCCAGCAGATGCACAGGGACACACACTGCAAAGAACTGCAGTCGACGATAGATGCCAACGGTCTCATGTGTCTATTGTGCGACTGTATGTCTTTTCTTTTGCCACTTGATGCAGCTTTTTCCCCAGACAGCGAGAGTTGATTCTTACTTCAAACATAGGAAGCGGTGCCTGTGTGCGCTTTGGAGCCTGGGTGCTGGTGGTGCCGCTGCCAGTTGTGGCTGCAGGGTGCTGCCTTGGGTGCTGGTGCCGCTGCAGGGTGGTGCTGCTGCTGCGAGATGTCGATGGCCGTGTGCAATTGCGAGCTTGCGTGCGGGTGTCGCCGCAGGCTGCCAGATGTGCGTGGCTGTTTGTGCTTTGAGCCTGTGCTGGTGGTGCCGCTACAGGCATCGGGTTGCTGTTGCCAGATGTCTATGGCAGTTTGAGGTTTGGAGCCTGGGTGTTGGTGTCGCTGCAGGCCGCTGCAGGCCCCCGCTGCCAAAATGTTTATGGCAGTGAGCAATTTGGAGTGTAGGTGCTGGTGTCATGCTGCCCACAAGTACCATCAAGTACCTTTTGTTGTTTGGGGTAGTATCTGGGGTCTATGCTAGCGTATTTGGAACTGACAACATATTGGGAAGGATTGGGACGGGATGATTCGATAATCTATCGAACCCATCACATCCTTTTCTTCTCACTATCTATTTGGTTTGCTTTCTCTTCAGGCACCTTGGATGCTTCACCTGCGCCGCTTACCTGCAAATATACCATACCCTGTACCCAATATCCCATTCAAAGTTGTGCTCTCATAGAGGATGTGAGAGCTAGGCAACATGGGCTTGAGAGACACACACACACACACATCCATACATTCTAGGTGCCCACCGCACCAAGCAGAACACATGTATGCCGCAAGTCGTACGAGTAGTCTTCAGTCAGAGTCTTCCCCCTGAGTGATCGGTCACCGCCCGAGGATGCCAACCACTCGGCCTCTTGGTATGATCTGTCACTCTTGGTCCTTGACAGTTTTAGGCTGAGATGCATTGGATGCATTGGGTCGAGTGCTGACATGAACAACTCACGGATATTTTACCAGCCACAAGAAATACCATGCAATTGCATGAAATCCCTCACTACAGACCAGATGTGCCTTTGGGCAAAACACTCAGTTTTTTTTTTTTTGGGTGGGGTGGGGATCAATAGATCACAGGAGGGTACGCAAGTGGCCTCCCCGACAGCCTTCAAGGAAGCCAGTGAGCTGAAAGCCTCGAGGCCACAGTCGGAGGCTCCAGAGGCGGGACATGTGGGGTTTGGCCAGATGGGTTCCTGCTTGGTTGGAATGCCTCCTGAAGTGACTGTATCAACAATTGTGAGACGAGTTAGGAAAACAATCCTAATACAATCGTATGTGCCCAGTTCAGTTGGGTGTTGGGCTGTTACAGGATGTGAGGTGGAGTGATCAGCTTTGGGTTTGCCTGTCCACATCACACTTTTTTGGTGTCGAGAGGTCGTTTTGGAGCCATGTTGAGGCGGGTTCAGGTGGCCCCCCAGGTTGCCAGTTGGCCATACTAAGTGAAACAGCCAACGGCTCAGTGATAGATTCTGACCACAGAGCTGTCACTTCGAAAACATGTGCTGCCAGATGTTTCGCGGTCACGTGCCTGGTGCCTTGTGCAGCTTGGGCGAAGTTGATCCTTGGATCGATCGATGTCTGAGACTTCGGAATGATCGATGTCTGGGAGTATGGACCCAGTCGACTTGGCATCTCTCGGCGGTGCGGTGCTAGAGAGAGGCCCCGAGATGGTCGCTTTCGCATCTTATGGTTGAAGCCCACCATGGGAGTCGGGCCCAGGGGATCTGGGTATCACCACGGCAGCAGGGTGGAGCTTGACCTAGGCAACATGGTGGAGCCTCACTCCCCACGGCAGCTGGCTGCCTGGAAGCAGCAGGAGCAGCGAAACAGACAGTTTCAGGCCGTGCTCCCGGGTAGCAGCTACCAACTGAACGGCTTGGGGTCATGTAAGAAAAATGCTAGGGAGTTTTCAGGAAGTTTATCAGCCCTTGTTCTGTCGGCACTCACCCAAGAAGATTCTGTCCTCCTTTGGCCCGGCGATTTCGAAAGATGCTCAGATCAATATCTCCAAGAAGGGGAAGAAACTCGGGCTTCGATACGATGACTCGGACGGACTGGCCCTGGTGATCAAGATCATCGATCCAGGCGTCCTCTATGCTGCTCGGCGTTGATGATGTCTCGGTGTGCTTGACCATTGACCGTGTTGTTCCATTCTTTTCCGGGGCACTACCAAAATTCGAAGATGATCCAAGATCAGGCTGAGAAGGACCCCAGTACTTTCTACTGGTTCACTGTTTGTAGGTGTTTATACACCCAGAGGTTGATGTCACAGCAATTCACAGCATCTTCCCACTGAGGATTCCATTATGGAGATGAGCTCAGACCAGTGGGCCGCTCGGCACTGACTGTGGATGAGCTGGGTCGACCGACCGGACCATGGAAACGACCGGGCAAGCGAACCATTCGTGAAGTCAAGCAAACTTGGCAAACCGGCCTGGCACAGGCGTGGCACAGGGGATCCAAATGATCTCCCAAACAGGCTCAATCACTAAGCATCACAGAAGATTTCAGGCGGATGCAAAATCACTTTGATCACATTTTTCAGGTCAAACAACTGCACCTCCCTCTAATCGATTTCAAGCGAACTTCACTATCCCGGCACTTGGGGGTGCCAAGACAAGCGTCCCCACGTGCGCCACCCTGCGCCCCGGCGAAGCCGCTGCTCCAGGCCATGCCGGAGGATCGCATCATCGTTCCTGGGCGCCAGGGACCAGCGTGAGGGAGGGGTCACCGGCTGTGGTCGAAGTAGGATACCACCGGTTGGAGTGCGGGATCGGTTGGATTATGGTCTTTGCTTGGTCTTCTTCAGCCTCTGGGCTTCCTGCAGACAGGGGAACGCGGGAGCTTTCGGAGTTGGCCGTGCATTGCAGCAGTGCTGGCTTCTGTGAGGTTGTGGGTGGGATATTCACTTTGTAGAAAGATGCCTCCTGATCGTGAGCCAGCTTCCCTTGCTGTAGAACTGGCAATGTTTTTTTCCAATCATTTTCTGCCAAGGAACTTTGGGTGGCCCCCTCATGTTTGAGAGAAGACCCCAAAGACAATTCCAAGCAGATCTTGATTACAATTACAACCGGAACATACCAGAACCAGATTATATTAAATGATCCTTCTCAGGATGCCAGCCTTCCCCCCCCCCGAAAGGACGGTCTTCACCTCCATGCCGCCCAGCTCCTCAGGAAGTCAATGGTGTGCGCGGGAAGTCGGAATGGCTGGAGGAGCCGCTTGAACTGCCAAAAGTCTCTTGTTGCTTCGTGGGATCCCGACCTTCTCCGGGTCCCAACGCCCACGGAGGGAAGGTCCCATGTGAAACACCCCAAAACATAGACCAGAGTGGGATATGCTTTCGGGGCTCTTGGACTTGGGTTCTGAATTCAATAGTTACTTTTATTCTTTGGCCCACTTGTTGCAGAGCCGGCCTCGGAAATTGTGTCATAGGGATGAGCGAAGAACTTGGCATGTGATTGGTGTGATCACATCATTCCCCGTGAAGCGTGTGAGGGTGCAATAACCGTTGGCTCGCGGCTCGTGACGCTGGAGCCTTGAATAAATGTCTATTTAGCACTATTTTGCAACTAAACTCTGATTGCACATTGATTGGAGCAGATCCAGAATGGGAGGCACTCAAATGCAGACCATTGCAAAGCATGCTGAGCATTGCATAGTGCTAATTGCTAATGCAAGAGATGTCAATCCCAGATGTTGCTAGAGGTCACTCCTAACCTCTCAGCATTCCAGGCAATGCATGAAATCTGATGTGCCTTGAAGGCAGAGAGGATGTTGAAGAGGATGGGTGGACCAGAGAAACCACTGTGCGGGTTCTGTCTGGTGCCGGAGAAAAAGTCCCTCGAAGACCGCTCATCCTTTGCAAAGAGGTTCTCAAGGCAAGGTTCGACAAGGCCAATTGAAGCCAATTCAATCTCACCTGTTTTGGCAGGTTGGCCTCCCCAAAAAGATCCAAAAAATGGGCAGATGTGGTCTGCAAGCAGTACAACCGATGTAAGCCGCCACACCCCAAAAGGATGAGTTAGATGCCCCAAGCGATGGAGTCATCGCAACTTTTTCCCAAGCTGGTTGGCGAATTGCTTTGTGTTGTGTATCCCAACTACATAGCTAAGTGAACTCTCCTCAAAACATGCGTGCAAGTGAATGATAGACACCAGCCAAACATCTCCACCAATACATAAATCCAATCCCAGTCGAATAGACATGTCCTGGATTTCATATTTCTGTGGGCCTCATTACAGCATACATCCCTGTGCAACTGTATGCTTTGCATTCATCCCTGAGGTCTTAACCTTAACACTGGAACGAGTTTTGCCAGCGCCCAATGAGCGGATCTTTGGCCAGAGCGAGGATCCCACCGTCATCGTGCACGCCTATGACTTGCATTTGGGCTGCATAGATTGATCCTTTTAACCTCTGGTGTTTTTGCAAGGATGATCACCATATGTCACCATCAACAACCTATGTTCGGGGAATATGACGGCGCCGATCCGTGTCATTTAGATGCCAGGAACACCAAGGAGGCTCCACCCTTTTGATCCAACTGCAGGTTCTTAATACATGAAGAACAGGCAACCATAGACCTCTACGATCCTCTACTTCTAAGAATTGTCATTAGAGGCAGCAGATTGAGTTGTTTGAGTGAATCCTATTGTAAGGGCCCTCACCTACAGGACTTCTTCGAGCGCCGATGATGCTCCGAGCGCCGAGGTTCGGTCATGGCAAGGGTCCGATGGCCTGCATGTCTCGCAACTGGGAGCGGTGTTGTGCCCCTTTTTATCATCGTCAACGACACACCATGGATTTGTCCATTTTCTTGGCCGATGCACCAACTCAATATCGGAATCTAGGGTAGTTAGTAGTTATGAAGTTATGACATGTTATGGCTTGTGACTGTTATATAAGTCAGCCGAAGCTTTTGCCTTGGGAGACTCAGATAAGAACCGAGGTCGAAGCTTTGCTTTTGCCTTGTTCTGAGGCACATTGAACTCGATGAGCACACGCTTTGGGCTTTTTCACACAGGCGGGACCAGAGGGTGGCGTCTTACCTTCCATAGTTTCGCCCAAAGTAAACTTGAAGTCCTGAAACTACTGGGACAAGACATTTTCATGGATTCCTGAAAGAAATTTGCCCTTAAATTCCTGGCGTTTCTTGCTTTGTTTCTTTCAGGGTCTGACATCGCCCTCCGATGCGATGTCACGTCCACATGCTCCAGCGGCATCCAGAGATCACTAGCACTGGGGTGGAAGCTCGAAGAGATTCGAAGAACATGGATACCAGCCTCCCCTTCCGGTCCCCTTGATTCACGAAAAAACTTGCTCTAGGCGTGGAAGTATTTGGCCGCGAGTGGTTCTTTGGAGCTTCTTTGGAGGGCCTCTTCCATGGAGTGAACTGCACCGAGCCCAAACAGCACCCGGTACACCGCTACCGCACCAGTGCGACTGGGCAACAAGCAAAAGCATGGCGAGCGGACGGACGAGCGGTGGGAAAAGGGGGCGACTGTTAATGAAGGTCCTGACATGAACAGATGCATTAACAGTCTTAATATTTGACCCCAGTCACCCTGCATTAACTGACATGAAGGTCTCATTTAGATTAGCCCCCAGTTTTCGCAGTTTGCATCTCAACATTTGACATTGTGACTAGCGTGACTAGTTCTGGGCGTCCTTGGTGACTGGTCATCCCAACGAGGATGTGGGGATGCGATATGATGTGATCATGCCAGCCGGAAGTGGTACATAATAAAGATCAGAGCAGCACTTATTGACAGTTTTGGCCAGACTCGGAGCTGGGCAGCACGGCAAGAGCCCAGCTGCATGAACATGAACACCAGTGGCTGGCTTGACAATGACGTGATCACCTTGGCAAATACCCCACAGGTGCGTTTTTGTCACCACCTGCTGGAACCAACCAACGCGTGTGGAACCGGAGCCGTGTGGAACCGGAGCCCTGTGGCTTTGAGTCCGACCGGGCGCTCCCAGGTCGCTTTGGGAACTTGCAAGATCACAGCAGAGGCTTTCGAAGAACTCATGCCGTGACATGGCTCCGATGGCGAGAGGTCTGGCGTTTGGGGGGCGTAACTGGGATCGGCTGGGTGCGTGGGGGACCTGACACTTCCGCACATCATTTGACACTTCCGCGCCACTCTTCGATTGGAGGGGTTGATCCAGGCAGTATGCCCTCAAAGGCCAAAATCTGCTGGCCAGAGCTACCTGATGCAGGTGTGAGCCACCGGGATATTTCGGGATATTGTGAGGATCTAGGAAGCAGTTCCCACTTTCCCCTCCATGTGGGTTTGTCTGGGTCGGAATGCAATGGCGAGGTTGATTCGGATGAAGTGGCCGGCTTGGTCATACCATGCCATCTCGAGGTGGGGGATCTCCGTAGTTTTTCGAATCGCTGTTCCTGTTTCAGTCCTGCGCACTTGGACTGCGTAGCTGGGGCTGCTAGCTGGGGTTCCAAGAACGAGTCTTTTGGCAGAGGTGTTGGAAGTCGCCCAGGTGGGTATAGCCACGTCAATGTAATGTAAAGATGCAGAATGCAAAGTAGAGCTCGCCCCGTTCGGCTTATCCCTGTTCCAAGTAGGCAGTGATGAAACCAATCCAGGCTGTTTGCGCCCCGCCGTCGCGACAGGAACTGTCATAGCTTTACCGCGCCTGGACTGCATGGTACCCAGGCCACCACCCGGTAACCCAGTGGGTGGAGCTTCAAGCCACGTGTCATCATCTGAAGCAGATCTGAAGCAGTCTGAACCTTGCACCATGAGATCCCATGAGAATCTATGAGACGATGATTCCCGACCATGTGGGTCACGTGAATCACCGCCGCACAGCCAAGGATTTCTTTTGCAAAATCCTGGGCTTCGAGTCTGCGCCCCGATTCGGACTGCAGCTCGGATGGCAGCCGAAGAGGGGTCCACATGTTCCAAAAGAGGTCCATCCCAGGCAACCTGCTTGGCCTTGGAGGCTTTCCTGAAGGAGCGTCAGAGCCTATGGCCTGCACCGAGGATCAGGGATGATCACGAAAGGTAGCCTGGTAAGGACTACCTTGCGAAGCAAAGGGACTGGCTTGAGAGCCTGCTGTAAAGATTGGTAGATCAATGTCTGACACCCCCACCCCCCCCTCCCATGTGATGATTCATTGATAAATCAATTGTTTTGCACCCCCTTCCCTCCCCTCCCCTCCACTCCCCTCCCCGTCCCCTCCCCGTCCCCTCCCCTCGCCAGCACTACTAGCATTCTGGACACACCATCACACGATAAGGTGAAGTCATGCGCTTAGCAGTCACAGCAGTACGACGCTGGCCATGAGGTTGCGCAATACAGCACGAACCCTGCACAATGAGGTTGCGCAATGCGGCTTCGATGCTGCGCGTGCGCGCCCGGCAGCCTGACATAGCGCATACTGCGTTCACAGACCATATTTCTCGACACCAACGAGCATCGATGCAACACAGCCTCTCTGCAAAGCCCTGTGGAGAAACCTCTCGCTTCGCGGAGCCTCGCGTGGCCACATCCTACCGCATCGAGCACCACTACACAGCTATTTACGCACCCTTCCCATCAGCCACCCACCATAGCGTGACGTCCATCCCTGGCAGTACCGGCGGCTTCGACGCAACGCGTGCAGGCCTGTAATCCTGACACAGTGCGTGTAGCTGTGGGAAGATAGCTGGTTAACATGCGAGCGCTTACGCATTGCGACTTTTACGCGCGCCTGTTTTCAGTTTTCACACACCTTTACACAAACGAGCGTCGACGCAACGCAGCCTCTCTGCAGAGCCGGGTGGCGCAATCTGATCGCAACGGTGTTCCTCTTGAGCCTTCTTGTGCTCTTTGGCTTTGTTGGTTTCATCCATGATTGACCAAGGGGAACGTTCCTGAAACACCGGAGACAGTCCCTCACCAGAAAAGGTCCTGACAGCTACCCGGTCCGTCTCTACCTTTAGTGTTTCCCCGCTCAAGTCAGGGTATACTTTGTGGCAAGGCCCCCACCGATGTGACAGGGAATCCCGGTGGCCGCAAGTGGCACACCGCCCACCGCCCTGGCCGCCGGCCCAGGTTTGGAAGTGGTGACGCCATGCTGGTGCCAGGTGGCTTGAGGGCATGGTGGGGCCAAGAGGAGTGAATAGAGGTGCTGGTGCACGAGTAAGGTAGACACAAATCCCTAGCAAAAAAAATTGTTGAGCTGGTTTTTGCTGTGTAAAATCCTTAGCTGGTTCGGTAAAGCCTATTATTTTAATAGTGGTTGGAAGCCTAGGGAAATGTGAAAATCCAGCACTGTTCTGTTGTGAAGGCTTTCAGCCTGGTTGAGCCGATTACAAAAGGGGCAGTGGTTACTGGTTGGCCCACCAAGTGTAACACCGGGTTGATGGGCGCATTCCCGGCTTTTTGCCACATAAGCTAGGAACACGGAGCCAGCGAGTAGTCAAGGTTATAAGGAGAAATGGAATCGGTAGAAGACGACCGAAATCCTTTTCGCCTGCCCACGTGCGGACCTCCGCGGCCCACGTCAGGAGCTGCAGCTGATGCACGATCACTGGCGTGCGGCCGCCCTGCATGGATCCCGCAGTCCTGCGGCATGCCGCGATGCTAAAGTACCTACAGTACGCTATGTAACATGGATTTTTGATTGTCAGCACGTTGGTATCTCAAATAACTGTCACTCTATGCGAAAAGATATGGTTCCCTTGGTGTGAGCCTTATTTAGACGTGGCACGAGTAGATCCAACATGATCCACCTGCCACGGGGTGCCCTGACCACCCGGAGGCCCTGTGGGAGCTGTGCGTCGCTCAAGACCGGCGAGGCAGGAGGACACGAGGGGAGCCGCGCGTCGAGTTCAGCCTACGAAGCATGGGAGGCGTAGAGCATACACCAGGCCCACGAGGGCCCTTCTTGAGATTGCTTTTTTGGGGCCGGGGAGGGGGTGAAGTATGGAGAAACCACTCGGTGAGATGTTCATGAGACACATGCATGTGTGTGAATCAGAGCAGAAGGGGGCTGCCTCCTTTCCCCCTCCTCTTCTTGACTGACGAGTCTGGATAGGGTGCAACCATGATTGTCAGCCGAGGCTGGTACATCATGGGTTGCCGCAATGCCAGGGGTTTGTCTCAAGATCAACTTCCCTCCAGACACCTACCAGACACCCATGATTGTCAGTGGTGTCGCCGCGGCGCAAGCGGGCCCCGGCCGGGCGACCGCCAGGGCCGACAGATGCCGATGTCCCCGAGCAGCGAAGGCAGCTGCCAGGGGGCCCCGAGATGCCGGTGTCGGGACGAAAGAGGCAGCTTTTCAAGCTAAAACTCGTTCTTGGTTGTTGGGAATGCTTCTTTGTTGTCCCACCGGTGTGGCGTGGGGTCTACGGTGGTGTAGCCTTTTTCTCCCCCAAGTGGCTGCCAGGGATGAAAGAGAAAGCCGCTGGTTCCAGCAACAAACTGCACCATGTGGCCACTTCTTTTTGGTTACAAAAAGCTTGTGTAGCCGCCTTTCCCTTCTGTGGCACCAGGGCTGATGTATGTTGATGCCCCAGTTACTGCAAAAAGAGGCCTCATCCACTCATCCTACCTGCCACCGCTGAGGCATTCGAGTTGAAGCCTAGGCGGGTGCCTGTCTAGTGACGCAAATGCCTTTCTTGAGGCTGGCGATGCAACCCCAAGCCCAGAAAGATACAGCAGCTGCATGTTTACACTTTCCGCCTCTCGCACTGTGATGCGAAGGCGCGACTTGTGCTTTTGGATGTCAACTGCGCTCAGGTGACAATGACACACATGACTCATGTCACATGACACTCTTACGGAGGACTGCATCGGCCAAGCTTACCCAAATAGTGTGCATCTGGGACTGGCACTTTGGCACATTTTTTGCGAGGGTGGTCCTTCCTTGCTGGCTGTAAAATTCTTTCCTGGCCAAGAATTCAACCAGTCAACCTTGCCCCTGCTTACTCTCCCTTGCAGCCAATGCCGATGCGTTTCACCCTTCACACAACACTCTTGGCACGCAAGTGCACCAAGTGAAAACTGCTGCATAGGGCAGTTTGAGACCGGGTTTGTCCAGCACGGCAGACGTTCACAGCTTGGGCTGAAATGGCCGTATACAACGTTATTACAACGTCATCTTATGGCTTTGACAGGGGTGTTTCTTGTCAGTCCTTTGGTAACGTTGGTATCCTGGGTTCATCATGATTCATCATTGTGGTTTGTTTGCTTTGTGCATGCTGGTTTCATGTACAGTGTTGATTCCCACTGGATGTGACAAGGGCACGCCTTCATGTTACTCTTAAAGTTGAAGAGGTACAAGATTCTCTCCGGCACAGTGGATCTTCGCTCTTTCGGCTCGTTGAGGTACAGAGATGGGGCCGCTGCAGTCATACCCACACTGGCCATATAGAAGATAGAACAACATCATGTCACGCTATCAGCATCTATCAGCTACATGTTTCATGCGGGGAGCCATGGTTTGCCGTTTGCACCTGGCCTCACTACCTGAAAGGCTCAGCAAGCAGCAAGCAGTACATTGAGTGCAAATCAACAAGCCTGAAGATTCTTCAAGACACGAAATGTCACAGTGTTTGGGCATGGGCACGCCCCCTTATTGTGGTTGACACATGTTGACACTCAAAATTCTATGAAGGTGTTCGAGATTTTTCAGCAAATCTGGGGTGCAGCCCCTACCCCACCCACCCACACACCCAACCTAGGAGCCTATATTCAGCATGCTGTAGCCACTGGCCAGTGGACGAATTGCCGTTTTCACGTGCCACAGCTCAACATGAGCTCTCGACCCTCTGCCCTCCATGAGCTCTCGACCTTCGCCGAGAGCGGCTCGGCTTCGGCGACGCCGCGAAAGTTGAGACGGGGATCGAAGCGACGAGTGGAGAATCTGCGACGTCCAGCACTTGTCGTGGCAACAGCAGGTTTCTTATGGCACAGTATCAGTAACATGCAACATACCACTGAACTACTACATACCACTACCAAGCTTTCGTTTTGGCAAGAGGAGTGGGGCACTTTGCCATTGCCCAAGCTTCCGGCAAGGGCCAATGCTTCCCTCCGGCCGTTGCAGCGCCATGCCGAGGATTTCGACGAGAGCGACAAGGAGAAGGCTGGGTCCCAATCGTGGTGAGGCTGTGTCCAGGGAGCGGTCTAGGATTGGACCAAATCTATGGGTTTGGGTCGCTGCGCCCTGGTTGAGGAAGGGGGCCGAGCTCTAACCCATGCCAGAGAGGTCCCTCGGTCGCCAGCGAGGTTGTGCATCGCTCAGGGGTGCTTTTTGGTGCGATTGGTGAGGAAAGGTTGGTTGGTTCGTCCACTGCAGGTCGCACAGATCCAACAGTTTGGATGGCTACAGCCCATCCGGAAAACGGCAGGTCTGAAAGTCAACGGTTTCGAGCCATGTCACATGTCCGTTGAACAGTGCATATTCCCTTCAGGATTGATGCCGGGCTGTGTGTAAAGGGAGCTAATACCAGAGAAATACCGTGGTCCTAGGTTCGTTGGTTTCGCTTCACGCTCTCAGCCTTGGGCAGGACCTCGGCAAAGGACATGAAGCAAAACGCCCTCAGATTCCGAAGGACGTTTCCTGGCATACATTCATGGAAGGCCATCATCGTTGGATATTGTATGATATTGTTGGAACGCTGAGACCGGGCAATTCATCCAGGCGAATGCAAGACAGTGTCCGGGACAGACCTGGACAGTTCCAGATGCCCAACCCATGCAATCGACCTGCGATAGAGGCAGAGGTTTGTACATCGGAATTGTTTTTATCCTCTCAGACTCTAAGACTCTAAGAGGAGGAGAAGCAAACTAGTAACTAGTACGGATTGCACACTGTCGATCCGCTACTGAGGAAGACCTTGATCTCGTCAACCCGGACCTGGAGAAGGATGAAGATATGGAAGATGCAGTGCCTCAGTTGCACGGACATTGAAAGTGATAACAGGGTCCTCATTTGAGCAGCGTTTTTCATCAAATGAGCAGCGGATTTCTATGGAAGTGGAATTGGTAATCGATGGCACACCGAAAGAAACCACTACTCAACTCACCTCATGTCTCCTTTCCTTTCATCAAGGCCCAAAGCCCCACGCGGCTCTACGATGAGGCGAGTCAAAAAAGGACGATGAGTTACGCGTTGGCATGGGCATGCATGGACTGACATGTGATACGACCGTCTTTTGGTACGAAGCCCACATGAATGACAGGTGTTGAATATGATCTATATATATATATATCTATATATGTATATGTTATTATACATTTATAGTTATATAATATAGATATGATCACAGTGTAACATGACATGATATGATATGACATTTGGTTGCGTTGGGGTTGCCTTTGCTGGTTTGAAGCATTGGCCTAGGCCATTCCCAGGCCGCCCCACGAGGTCAGTCGGGGAACCTCAGAGGCCGTGGATGAGGGTTCAACAGGGCCAACTTCTATCAATCGACCTATAGCAATACTATACTAATACTGTGCAAGAAATGCATGCATGGATGGATGGATGGATGGATGCTCAGCGCCTTTGGGTATCAGATGTCGAGTTGATGCATACCTTTCCAGGATGTCCTGGAAAGAGCTGTGATCCTGAGATGAAGTTGGAGAGTAACTCTTGGCCAAAGCTTCGGGTTGCTGTTCCTCTCGGAGGGTTGTGGGAAGAATTTACAAGACTGCGAGATGCGTGATAGCCACATGCTTTCAAAACCCGAATAAGGGCTGCTGCCAAGAACGCTGTACAGAAAAAGTCACGTGCAATACTGCGTTTTGTAATGGCTGCCAGGTGCCATTGCTGTTGTTGCTGTGGTGGGTCTTGTTTGGAAGGGTGCTTGAGTGGTTTGTGTTTGGTGTGTTTGAGGTGGGGCTGGAAGCCCGGAATGACAGAGTTTCAAAAAAGGGACCAGAGGACCAAAGCCCAATTGGCTGGCGGGATTTGGATATATGATATATGATGATATATATAATGATCTGAGATCGCTTGTGTCTTGCGATTTTTGAAGCAAGCTAAGACATGCCAACAAGAACAATGGATCAAGGGCGGTGATAGGGACATATTTTTTCCCTTGCATCTCGCGTATCATGCGTATCTAGTGCTTACACCATGATGTTCGTTCGTGTTTACTTTGGAGGCACAGGTTGTCTTATGGAGTTTGCTCACTTGGCTGGCTATTTGTGACTAGCTGAATAGATGGCTGATCTATCAGACTTGTAGCAAGACCACTTGTCCCTGCCAGCGGTCCTTCCTTCAGACGACGGTTGTCCCTTCTGCTTCGTGACCCCCAGGGGCCACCCAAGTTGCTGTGACCAGATGAACTTGTGAGTGTTAAGAGCCGTGCTACTCAATTCATTATCAAAGGAAGTTTAGTGTGCAAAACTTCCGTGTTACGGACATTCAACAGCTGTTCAACCACCACTCATCATACACCACTCATCACACACCACTCATCATACACCACTCATCATACACCACTCATCATACAC